CTCTCTTAATCCCTGAGCAAAGTGTCTTTTGCCAGCAGTATAGTTGGGGACAATCACCTGCTAACCTGGAGTTTGGGAGCTTAATACCAAGGACAGTAAGGACAAAGGAGCTTTTTTTTTTTTTTTTTTGGGGTTTATTTTACCTCAAAAAAATTAAAAAAAAAAAAAAATTTTTTTTTTTTAATTTCCTTGATCCAGCAGGAAATTTGGAAAAGTGTCAGTAAATTTCTGTGAGGAGAGGCTGGGGGTCTTGGGCTGGGCTTCTTCTCCTTTAGTTTTAGTTTTCTTCTCCCTGTGTTCAACCAGCCTGAGCTTTCAAACAGAAGAAAATTGAAGCTAATGGAGATATCAAACAGAGCCACAATTCCGAAGGCTCTCTCTCTACCACAAACACCCACCGTGCATCTCCACGTGTAATCACAGACACTTGCCGGGTCTTCTTTACGAGGGACTCCTAGAAAAGCAAAGAAAATTCTCCATCGTCAGAAGGAAGCCCCTATTATCACTACTATTATTTGTGTATAGCAACATAAGAATTTATTTCTCGTCTTAAAATTCCCCCACAATATTGAAACAGCATTTGTTGTCCAGTTCATACAATCGCTTGAGGCCTTTCTGGAAAACCATTACCATTCAATGGCTAGAAAATTGCTCTCCTTCCTTAAAAAAAAAAAAAAAAAAAAAAAAAAAAAAAAAAAAGCCAGCAGCAGCAGCAGCAGCCCCTACACGTCGACAACAAAAACTTTCTCCTGCATAATCCTCGATCGCACAATGACAAAGAAATGATATTGACTTACCCCCAAATGGATGATGTGTTTGATAAGGGGGGCACTTTTTTTGAAGATTTCTGTCCGGGAGCTACACAGACAGCTGCAATTCATGGGCGACGCTGATTGCCAGAAAGGCTATGGATTGGCATGGGGTCTGCAGCTCACAGACCCTGATCAATACCCCTACACTCACACGCCAGATGGTTTGGGGAAGGACAAAAATAAAATAGTCCAAAACAGCCCACTATTATGTCTTTTTTTTTTTAACTGCTCTGATAAACCTAGCTGTAGCACAAATATGTTATGACCAACACAAAACCTGAAGCAATTCTGAACATTTTGGTGGAAATGAGCAGTCCTATGCCTCTCAACTGAGGCTGTGGTTACTGTTTTCTTAGAAAAACAAAGCTGTTGGTACCTTATCCAGATTGCATTGACTTGGGGTCTGTTTATTTTTTTCGTGCATAATTTATAGGGTTCCTCTTTTAATTGGATCTGTCTCCAATTTTAATGTGAAAAATACAAATGAAAAACTGATAGTAAATATTTTCAGTGTTCTCGGGCAATCTCTAACTTAAGCTCAGATTTTTTTTTTCTTCTACAGTGCAGTAACCAGTATTTGTTGTCAAAGCTACATGTTATTTACATGTTTCTTTGAATTCATTTAAGTTTTTGATTTTCAAGACTATCTAACCGGAAGATGTGATACTCTAAGAAGTACATCTACTGGTCCTGATAAAATGCTTGGTACAGTTGCCCAGATTCTAATAGTCAGAAATTGGCTGTTAAGCATCACATTTCTATAGACTATTTGAGAATCAAATGCTGGTGAAGGGAGAAGACAACCAGAGTATAACTTCAAATTAAAAGACAAAATGGTCAGCGATAGAACTTGTTAAGATTAGTGTTAAACAAGGAACAATTTTTACAGAGCTACTCTTCCTTTTATTTTGTTAAAGAAATAATGAGAAACACCAAAGTATTTCAAAACATATTTTTAAATCTCATTAGTATTGCTAACGTTAAAATTATCTTGAAGTAGAAAATAAGTATTTTCCCTTTATAGAGAGGAAGGAAAGGGGGCATCCAAAACCTAAATCAGTAAAAATTAGGGTACTGACTGAAGAAGCACTTTCATTTTCCTTTTGAATGGGCTCTGAGTTTAGACATAAAACCTCAGCCACCATTAGAAAAACATCATGAAAAATCTGCTTTAATTTAACCCAATGAAATTATATACAAAGAAACCAATGCGATTTCATGATTTCCCTGAGATCGCCAATATTGATCGAGGTGGGGGGGGTTCGGCTGGAGAAGGGGGAGGAGGGAGACAGGGAGGGAGGAAGGAAGGAAGCTAGGCAGGGAGAAAATGCAACTCACCTTTCTGCTCCCAGGCACATTGAAATGCAATTCCCTGGAGCAGATTTATCTTGGTGGCCTGGTAAATGAGTTTATCATTTTGAAAAATTATTTAAATGGAAATTTATATACTTAGGTGTCTAGAAGCAGGACCAGCCTGGGTGCACTGGTCACTACTTGAGCTTGAAGTCCAGGGAAGGCAAAGGAAAGCACTAATGGATGTACCCCCTCCCAGCCCTGCTCTTCCTAGTCCTTCTGGGTCCTGTCACTGAGCCCTAGGAGACCAAAGCAGGTTGCTCTCTGGAGAACTTTTGTTTGACAAGGTGTGTATTTCAAATATTAGCTGGCTCAAATGGCCTCATGTCCAACCGCCATATAGATGAAGTAGTGGAAAGAGATACGGTAGCAGGAGACAAAAGGAGAAGAAGCTAGAGGAACAGAAAACTGAGTTGTTATTACCTGTCTTTTGTGTCACTAAAGACTTGAGCAGTCAGAAAACTAGGTCTGGCAAAGACTGGGATGTGCTGCTTTCTTAACCAAGCTTTGTTGTCACAGAAAATGCTATTTGAAAGAATAACTGGCCATATATTGGCCAGAGCTCAATCAACTTGATCTATGAATAGCATCACTGTACATGAGAGAGGCAGCGGTAGCTAGAAGAGAGTGGACGGCAGCAGAAAAGGTCAACTGACTAAGAACTGTTTTCCAAATGAATTAAAGCCTTTCTCTAGACCCACGAAGACACATACAGTATTCTGGACTGTCTGTTTTCTTACCAAGTTTTCTCTAACAGCTGGAAGTAGTTGGAGGGGGCTGCCTTAAGAAGGCCCCCTGCTCTGCTTTTGACAGCTGATCAAAAGAAAATAGGTCACGCTTCTCAAACTTATGTCCACCCTGTCCTTAATTACTGTCTCTTTAAACAAAGGCAACATCTGCGCAACCTCAGCTAGCTTGAATCTTCCGAGGCAAACAGGGCGCAACCTGCTTTGGAAGAATCTGTTACTTTTAAAGCTTTCAATGCCGGGTGTTGGCCTCTCCGGCTGACTTCAACCATCCCTCCACTCCCTCACCCGCCGCGGAAATCACCAGCTCGTCTACTCCCACCTCCCGACTTAGGGTTGTCAAACAACGGAAATTCTAGGAAGACGAAGGTGCGCTTTTTAAAGCAACAGCTTTCCAGATTGTTCTCCAGCGGAGTCCGCTGAGTCCCGAAACAAGATTTGAATATGCAGATGTCAGCCGGGCCCTACCCACCGAGGAAACCGGGGACTTTCCTCGCAGGGATTTGAGAACGCTGTGGTGTGTGTGTGTGTGTGTGTGTGTGTGTGTGTGTGTGTAGAGAAAAGGTCCGTCGGTGCTGTCCCGGCTAGTTTGCATACTCCTTGCCCCCAGAAGAAGTTTGCTGGGCTGTGAGCACCGCCAACCATCACACAGGCACCCCATCCCAAGAGTTCACTCTCTCCCTTTGCTCCCAGTTCTGTGAAGGAGTAAGCATTTGGTCACCTTGAAACCGCAGCTCCTAGAATTCTAGTTTTGTTCTGCAACGTAGCAGGGCTCTTCTGAAGCCTCATAACTGGGAGATTTATGGGCTTGCTGAGTAATTAAATGATGTTATTGTGTTAACTTTGCATGCATTACAGCAGCTCGCGCCGCCCGTGTGAACCTTCGACCAGCGGCGCAGCTCTCCGGAGTGGCTTTCCGCGGTAGATTACGCTCGCCCCAGTCTCGGGAATTTACCATGCATTAGAATACATTAGCGCCTGCATTTTAAAAGCCAGACCGCTGGCTGCCGGCTAGGGGCTCTCGGGAAGTGGCTTGCTGGGAGACACGCGTTTGTTTTTACAGCCGCACAGGCTTACTATCGAGAAGAAAAGCTATGAGGTGGTGAACTGAAGCAATGCTCCTCAGCCCAGATCGCAGCTGCCCAGGAGGGACAGAGCAGAAAGCCGCATCTCTCACATAATCTTTCTCGGTCGCCCGCACTCTAGCCTCTTTCTCTCTCCCCAGCACCCCCCTTCTCCTCCCTCCCTTTCGTTGATGCTTGATTCCTGGCGCAAAGGAGTCGGGGGGTGGGGGTGGAATTAAAAAAGACACCGAGCTGTCAGCCAAACATGAAACGTGCGGCCCCGCCCCTCCACATCTATTGGTAGCTGTTCCGAGAAGTCCCGCCCTCCACGGTAGCCACTACGGTGGATTGGCTGCGTCTGTTGCCCATCGGGCAGGGCCCCGCCCCGGGTCCGGGAGGGTAGGTTGCCTGCTCCGGCAAGCGGCAGAGCCCTTCTGGACAGCTCCCGCTCACCCAAACAGAAGACGTCGGCGCCGGAGCGGGCTCGGACATGGCGAGGCAGCGCGCCGGCCCGAGCGGCGGGGCCCGGTGATCCCTCCCTCCTTCCCCGCCCCTCCCTCTCCCTTACGCACGCCCCGTCCGCCCCCACCCC